TTTTCTGTTATCATTAAAGGTGGTTTTCTTACATGAAAGACGGATAAAGTCTCTAACTATCAGATCTTATAAACACCCAGTAAGGACATATTTTCGATTTGCGAAATGATAACGGTTTTCAAAAAAGGAATTTCCTTTTCATCTCAGATAGGATACAAAAAACTAATTAAAGTATGTTCTAATTCATTTAAAGGGAAGCGTTTCAAAGCCACAGAAGGCAAAGTGCAATTAATTTGCATAACTTAAAGTCCCTTAAACGAAACGAATCAATTGGCATAAAGCCAGGAAAACGTTAACCTCAGTTTCTTTCAGGTAATGAAAGCTATCTTCATCGGATGTTTTCTGCTAAGCATCCGCTGTGATGGAACCGAAAGCAATAATATCCTACAGCAACTATATTCTTTAATGGCATTTGAAAGCAAACAAATATCTTGTCTCGTCTGTCAGTGCATCAATGCAGCAGAAAATTCAATTACTGATTTCTTGATTGTCAATATGGTTTTAAATGCCTCACCATCCGCGTAAACTTACCAGTTCTAATTTTATATTTTAAATATGTGTAGACGGTTGCCGTTCACGTTTCATAATACATCTACTTAAAAGTACCATTGCATCTTTCAGCATAAAATGTTGCTTTATCGAGGCGACAGTGTTTTACATATAGTCGACTATCGCTTTACTTTGCTACTGTTACGTTGCTGGTTCAATCAAACACCTAGAAATCAGCCACAGTACACTTTCTTCCGTGCATACAGTTCACACGGATTTTATATGATTGGTTACTCGTTTGTTATCGTACATTCAAACAAATGCTACAAAGCATGTGCAAAAAAGCCTTCGCTTGAACCATCCGAGGAAGCTTTTTCATTAGCAACGCGAATGCATTAATATTCCTGGCAAAACCAGTAACAAATGAAACAGTCTTCCACGGCATATTTATTAGATAATAGATGCATTTTAACGTACTCTAACGTTAAGATTCAATCAAAAGTTTTATGTAACAAAACAGATACAATACGGAATGTGGCGTTTTATTTATAAACAGACTGTTTTGTTTTGAAGAATGTCACAATGGAACAGCGAATGGGGATAGAAATACCTACCGTTTATCCAAACCTTCTGACAATATGCATGTCGGTACACTGAG